ATAAACTCCAATAATTGTTAAACATTTCGATATAAGATTCATCAAAACCATACACCGTGAACTATTTTTCAAAATAAGTGTATCCCGACAGAAGTTTGTGAAGCTTTTAGAAGCTGGACTCACCAATATGTATACTAGTACTATAATGAACTATCCGTATACTAGTACTATAATGATCTATCCATATACTAATACTATAATGAACTATCCGTATACTAGTACTATACTGAACTATTCGTATACTAGTACTCTACTGATCTATCATTATTCTAGTACTATACTGAACTATCCGTATACTAGTACTATACTGATCTATCATTATACTAGTACTATACTGAACTATCCGTATACTAGTACTATACTAAACTATCCGTATACTAGTACTATACTGATCTATCATTATACTAGTACTATACTAAACTATCCGTATACTAGTACTCTACTAAACTATCCGTATACTAGCAATGTATTGAACTACCCGTTTACTAGTACTTTAGTGATCTATCCGTATAGGTAGTACTATATTTAACTATCCGTATGCTTGTACTATATTTATCTAATCGTTTAATAGTACTATACTGAACTGTCCTCATATTAGTACTCTATTAAAATGTTCTTATACAAGAACTATATTGAACTATCCATATACTAGCAGTATATTTAACTATCCGTATACTAGTACTATTTTTAACTATCCGTACACTAGTACTTTAATGAACTATACGTATACTAGTACTCTACTGAATTATCCTTAAGGAGGAATTCAAGTCTTATTGATTGGTTGGTTGTTTAAGCTCATAATAAATGTTAATTAATATAAGTATTCTGGGTTATGCTTAACTTGATTAAATAACAACTTTATATAAATAATCAGGTCGTTTCACTGAAAAATGCAATTTTTTTCAGAAAATAGCACATAACCTATGACAATATTTTACATGTCTTGTCCCAACTATTGCATATCAAAAGAAATATAGCCTTGTTTATGATGTGTCTACTTAATGAAAATGACGTCATAAAAGAGTTTAAAAATGAATTAAATATATAACGACATATTAAGAGCAGTTGTATCATTGCTATTAATAGCTGTAGTAATACCTTCATATCATACATGCATCCACAGAAGAACACGTTATTCATCAGAAAAAAAACTCGATGTTTTTAAAAATTCTACCTTTTTAACAGTTCCTTTTGTCTTTAAACACTCGTTCTTATAAGATGATAACAGAAAAAAATATATGCCTGTCATAAAATGAAGTACCATAGGTACATATAATAAAGGAGAAAATAGACAGAAACTGGAGGGTCTTGCGTAAAACAAACACAACTGCCCGAATTTTAGTTATGTGATATATCATCAGGCATGTACCTCAAAGTACGCACTAAAGATAAATATGTCTTCGGAAATATGCAATGAATTCTGATGTACCGAGATTTATTATCATTTTAGAACAAAAACGATTTATTTCTATTACAAATACATACTTGACTGAAATTTCATTATCTTTGCCGTAGTGTGAAGCTTTATATTTCCGTACAGAAATGGCACACGGTTACAATTTTTAAACCGAGGAATAAATCGTGGTTTTCATTTATTCTGACTTTTGCTTGCAATGATGTATTTATTGCTGTGACCAGTGTTTCAAACTAGTAGAGGACCATTCTAGTATCATAAACAGTCATCTGATCGCAAAGCCAGGCAATAAGAGCAGAAAATTTACCGAATACATTCGCATGTCGATATTCAGTCTTTTCATGATCGTAATAATTCAAAATTTCCAAGACCACCTTAAGAATTTTGCAATAAATATTTTTATATTTTTCATAATTTATTTTAAGCAATTTACTAAAATCTGTGAAAGAAGCTGCCTCATTAAATAGCTTTATTTATTAAAGAGCAAGGAAATGGCAACATTTTTCCCTATTAAGTTCTCCTAACAACTTCTTAATGTTATTTTAGTTTTTCCTCTCCTTCAATTTTCCGTTCCTGTTCTCCTCACCATAACTTACTGCTATCTTTTCTTTCCCTCTGCTTTAGCTTCCCTTTCCTTTTCTCCACACAGTCTCATATTTTTTTTTAAATTTCTCTTCGTTCTCCTTCAATTTCCCTTTCCTGTTCTCCACACAGTCTCATATTTTCTTAATTTCACTTCGTTCTCCTTCAATTGCCCTTTCCTGTTCTCCGCACAGTCTCATATTTTCTTAATTTGTCTTCGTTCTCCTTCAATTTTCCTTTCCTATTCTCCACATGAAACTGTTATCTTTTCACTCTCCTTCTGTTTCTTTTTTTTATGAAACTGTAAATAGCTACGCTATAATGTATCTATGTACATTTACTTTTCAAAATTGTCGTTTACAACGGACGGCCACATTAGATTACTTTTACTAAATGGATTATCTTCTGAAAATAGTTTATTATTATTATTATTATTATTATTATTATTATTATTATTATTATTATTATTATTATTATTATTATTATTATTATTATTATTATTCATATAATAATAATAACATTAATAGTGATGATGATAATGATGATAATAATAATAATAATAATAATAATAATAATAATAATAATAATAATAATAATAATAATTATTATTATTATTATTATTATTATTATTATTATTATTATTATTATTATTATTATTATTATTATTATTATTATTATTTAAGTTTCACTAAATATTTGGATTTCATCCATAGTTGTAAAAACTGTATCTTCTGAATAATACGGTAGTGGACTATAATTATAGTGTATCGACGGTTTTCCTTTAATATATTAACATTACTGAATGAAAGTTTTAGCTGAAATAATTCGCAAATATAGCATTATTATCCGGAATGCATTGTTTTAATATTTGTACACGAAGACGCAAACGATGAAACTAGAGGCACACATTTATTGGCCTTCGTGTCGTTATTTTAAGTTTTGCTGTGCGAACGTTAGGAATTCGTGGCCGTCAGATCGTGTCATTGATTAATAGAACCACATTTGTTCGAGGAAGGAATACACGTATTTGAAGACATTTGCAGACATTAAGTGCCCTCAAAATCTTTCATAATATGCAGTATTCCAGCATAGTTGCGTATGTTTTAGTGCTGGTTAGATTGGATATTTACTAATAAATACTCAGTGATCAACTCTAGGGTTTTGTGTAAATACACTTAGATTAACAAATCTCGGATAGACCTTTTGATGTGACAAACACTTTTTTGTCTGTAAGAAAGAAATCTATTTGCACAGTTTCTTATAAAATGATTGGTCAACATTTTCTTTTTCAGCTGATAGTAAAATGCAATTATATATCACTCGGAACAATAAGGATTCCAAGGAAATTAACGCGCTTTTCAGCAATATTATTGTTTCCGATTCTATAAGTATTCATTGTAATTTTCCAAGACAGTAAAGGCAACTTGCACAAGAGAATGAATGTATATTTAAAATAAAAATCGCATATTTGGTATAGTTGTAATAAAATTACAATTTCTGGTAAAAATTATTTTCAAAAGATCTAAAAGTTTGAGGTTTATAAGTTAAGCCACAATTGGCCACTGCACAACACTTTGCTCTTCTAAAAACTGGACACTCTGTGGACATTAGTCATGATTTCTATGTAGAGTACTAATGAATACATGTACACAATCTTTTCGAGTCAGGTTTGGTTTTGGTGCTGTATGGTTCAAAACCGCAAGAAGATTATTTCGTTTGGAGACAATTGGAGTAAAGTCCCTTACACAAGGACACCCTACCCCCGAAGCCTATCCGAGCTGATTCAATGTTAGTATTCGGACCTACGCCTTTTCGGTCCACAGCTCAGCACTATAACCAGATAACATAGGTCCGGGTGTGTTGCTAATCAATAAAGGATAGTATTACCAGAAACTCTACTTTCTTTGTCTTCTTTATCTTTTCCTTTCTTTTCTGTTTAGCATGAAACCATTGAATGAGATTTCTGTGATGACTTTTGAGTGAAGAATTACTAGTGGAAAGGAGTGAAAACGTATAATAGAGTGGAATAAGAGTAGTTCCAGTCCTTTCTAATTGGTAATAAACTAATATTAACTTTTCCCTGTGAATAAGATAAATATCTATATCATATGACCTAATTATCTATTGAGTTATGCCGAACTCTATACGAACATTACAGTTGCATGTTTATTAAAAAGGAACTATTTATTTACCTTATCATTATTATTATCAAATATTAAGGAATCCGAGCACGCGATGGGCGTTATGCTTTGTCAGCTTATTTCAAAGCGTGTATGTATGTATGTATGTATGTATGTATGTATGTATGTATGTATGTATGTATGTATGTATGTATGTATGTATGTATGTATGTATGTATGTATGTATGTATGTATGTATGTATGTATGTATGTATGTATGTATGTATGTATGTATGTATGTGTGTGCGTTCGTACAAGGGTGCGTGCGTGGGTGGATGGACGGACGGACGAATGGATGATGTATCGATGGATTGATTGATCGTGCCGATTGAATGTTCAATAAATGAAAGGACATAAATATGCATAAGAAAATATAATGAGTAGTACTAGAGGATAAAATAAAAATGTAAAAATTCTGTCAAAGGTATATAAACAAGAACAAAAGTTAAATAATAAAAAATATACGGCCTCAAAACAGTCATTTCCTCTTAGTGTTAAGGATTGTTTCTGATGGTATTTTAGAAAAAATTCTTTACTGAGTTTTGTACGAAGAAAAGAGTTTTTAAACTTTTGTCACATACGGTTGGAATTGTTACGCTTGATAAGAAAGTGTCCCTTGTTAATGCATGGTGGATGTTCTCACTAGTTAAGGTTTACCTTTTCGTAAATAATCATGGGTCACTTATATATATATATATATATATATATATATATATATATATATATATATATATATATATATATATATATATATATATATATATATATATATATATATATAATCCTTATACTCGAGTGTTAAAATATATTTAATCTCTTCGACCGCTCCGATGGCTTAATTGTTAGAGCGTCCGCCACAGATGCGGGAGTTTGTGGGTTCAATCCCCGGTCGAATCATATCAAAGACTTACAAAAATGGCACTAACAGCTGCCTCGCTTGACGCTCAGCATTAAGAGGTCAGTATTAGGACTGGTTGGCCTGGTGTCAGGATAATGTGACTGAGTGGGACATCATGCTACATGTCTGCGGCACGATGCTCCAATTCTAGAAATCACTCTAAAATGTCATACTGCAGACATCGTAGCAATATGGCTGAAAAATTAGTTAAGCTACGTTAAAAATCTAACACACACACACACACACACACACACACACACACACACACTAATCTCTTCGATTTCCTTCCGTGGGTGGGATGGTGCTCTTCTGCACATAGGTGATGGGTTTTGTGTTCCAAAGTTTACCTTTTTTTATGTATATATATATTCCGGGCTAACTTACCGTGGTTACTCGCTTAATATGTGGAGTCAAATTACAAAAAAATAACGATCCTGATTTGCTCTAGGAAAATGCGTCTGCAGATCAGGGTCTATGACGTTTGTTATACAGATTATTCCTAATAAACTGCACAGACCCATGTCAGTCGGTGCATTATTAGACGGGTAGGTATGTAGGTATGCAAGTATGTACGTACATGCATGCGTGTGTTCGAGCATGCATGGATGGATGTATGAATGGATGGATTTCCCGATATACTTTATACTTAATTCGGTGAAGAACTGCAAAAGCAGTATTTTTTATAATTGCTGATGTTAAATGAAAATATAATTGAAGAAAAGTATGTCTTACCCGAATGGATTCCTCAAAGTTGATCTTCCTGTAAATGGCTCTTTCAAGGAATCTAATTTTCGTTTCTTTTCATCCTTCAGAATTAGATTTACATCATTTTCAGGGTCCACATTTTCTCCCTGTTTTGCATTCGCGGCATGTTCCTTTTCGTGATACGATTGCTGTCTTGATTTAGTAGGTGACTGTTTTCTCTCATTTTCTTCCTCATCCGTTTTCGTCACTTTTCCCTTCTTTTTATCCATTAAAGACGTACGAATATTATTATCTCCTTTGCTACCCATAATATTTTCCATAAATGTGAATCAGGCTGATCCCAAATCCACAACTGCTCACCTTTCTTGCGAAGACCAATTCATCTGTTAAGTAGTATTAGCTCGGATGCACAGATATCGTGAAGTGAGTGAGCGGGTGAATTACGGAGAGATAAATACTAAATCACGCTGCCGTGCAATAGAATAATCGTATTAATACATAAGGGTAATACATTTCCTGGATAACTTACTTCTACTTCTACCCCAAGTAATGCTTATTTGTTGTGCCGTAGGATAAGTTGAACTGTTTGTCCAATCATTGTACAATACCTAGTATGATATAAAATGCTTTTACTCTAATTGCATTCCTTTATCTTGATATAACTGGCCTAAGAGTCTTTACCGTGTGAACGGCGCAGGGGGTGCAGATATGTCACATGATACAGGTTACCTCCGCCCCCTGGCAGATGGGGTCACTCATCGTATGGGAGGAAGAACAAAGCCACACATTGATCCGTTATAAGGATAATCATATTTCATAATTTGTATGAAAATAGATGTTTCTTCTCCAGCTGGTTGAGAGATAAAAGTACATTTTATTGTACCTGGATTTAGAATAGATTCATTCAACGGTCTTGTATATCTGGACCCAGGTAGGCAATATAGTCTTTGGTTCAGATATTGTATGCCAAGTTGCAACATTGTATTGCCAGCTATTGTTTACTGGACGGTCTGAAGACCCCATGGAGAAAACAAAGGCACACATTTTGTGATGAATCAGGTAGATGACGAAGCTTATTAACTATTTTAATTTTCGACCTAATATATTAACATAACAATTGGGGATATTTAATCAATAGTTGGCATCGAGTTAATTGTATTTATATTAAACAAATTATAAGATTTATTTCAAATTATATGAATGGGAAACTTGCTGTTCATTTTCTTCACCATCATGATTTTAAAAGTTTTAGTTCTGGGTTAATTGAACTTATTTGATTTTGTAAAATGAATAGGTTTTTATTTCAGTAAATTATAAAAATTATTTACGTAAAATATTTATATATCCAGAACATAAGTTAAACACTGCTTAAAAACAAGTTTTGACCTCTAAATGTCATTAATTGACTAAAGAAAGTGTATTTAGTCAAAGTACCCTTCATACAACGATATTACCGTTCCGTTATACTTAGACTGGACTACGACCAAATGCTTCACGTCTGGCATAAAGACGAAACCACGCACACTCAATAGAATAAAATAGGTATACATATAAAAAAAAGACAAACACTAAAATAACATGATGGTGTGCTTTTATTTTATCTTCATAACTTTCCTTTCTACCGGTTTATTATAAATAGCGCCAGTGCATTGGTTGTGTTTTAAGTTAAATTTATTTTAAATGAATATTCTTGATTTCCTCTTCTGCCAAAACGTACAAAACATACACAACAAATTAGGAATGATGTAGAAAACAGAACTGTATATACACACAAACAATCTATAATTATGAAATATTCTGAAACATACATAATTTAATACATATTTAACACAAAAAACTGCTAATTTTTAAAAACTAAGAAACATTTTTTTCTTTAGATATGTTATACACTTATTAAATCACACTTCAGGTAAGACAAGACAGCTCAAAATTATTTCGAAAGAAAAAGATAGTCTGACATTTCGTCATTTTGCAAATGTAATCTTTGTAAATCTAGCCTAACTGGACTCATAAATATGTTTTTTAAGATGAAAAACCATGCAACTTACAAAACAAATCCTTGCTCGTCGAAGAAAAGATATGCACATTTTACTTCTTTCGACAATTATGCCTTATGGAATAATGATCTGTTATTAATTTATTTTTTTAATTTTTCCAGGTAGCCTCATTTACAATTTTATAGGAGCCAGTTTTCTTCCATCATATAAATTCTGCATATGCTAAAATACATCTTTCAAATACGATAAAGAACAAAAAAGAAAACAAAAACCAATTTGGATAATTTCGATGTTTGCAAATCGTTTTAAATGATAACACTGCATTATCATTACTCACATATGTAAGCGAAACAACAAATTATATTCTGCTATTCAGATTGAATAATGAAAAACCCTTTCGCCACAATACCATTTAGTATTTTATAAAAAACGATGATCGATCTTACATATACAATTCACTAGTTTAGTATAATACGCGTTGTTTCCCTTTATAGCGAGGAGTTATTGATAAGTATACTTGGTAAAAACATCTAAACAGCAAAACAAACATATAGATCTATTCTATAAAAAGACACAATTTTATAAGAATGTATTGAAAACTCTTTCGTGACAATCAACTCGTAAAACTGCAGTAAAGTACCTCTATAGGGGAGACAATCCAATGCAAAAGGGACGTAACGTTTGCAATTAATCTTCTTATATCCTGTTAAAATTGATGTTCTGCCTTTTTATTTGGAAGTTTTGCTCCACAAAATGAATTAAATATTTTCTAGTACATTTTATAACACTTCCGCTCGGTTTAGCATCATGGATTTTACTTTCAAAATTACTTTCAAATATTTCTTCTGTAATCCTAAATAACTGAACGCCAAATAAAGAGAATTTAGAAACTCATTCAAATAGAAGAAATGAACACAACTGCTTTCCTATTTATATAGCTTTTGATTTGCTAATATTCCCCTTTAATCTCGAAAGTTATCTATCTATCTATCTATCTATCTATCTATCTATCTATCTATCTATCTATCTATCGATTGATCGATCGATTGATCGATCAATCGATCGATTGATTGATTGATAACGTCGCAAAATTCAAAACGGTTTCCAACATTTCGAGCTGAACAGCTATTATTCAGGAAATTACATATACAAAACAAATTCTTAACACAAAATCTACGAAAATTTCTGGACTACTTGATAATACAATCACTGCAAGCAATTGACAACAAGAGATATAACAGTACAAAGTTTTGCAAAGACAACAGAGGAGCGGTTCTTGCGTCTATTATAGAGCGAACCAGTCTATGTATATATTGACGACAGTCTATTTTGAATAACAGGTCATTTGGATAATACGTGTTGATTAGCGTCATTTGTTGAGATAAAGAGTATTCATATTTCATTTAATTTACATCATTGAAGATTGTCAAAACGTTTATGCATATATTATTTGTAAAGCATTGATATACCACGAGATTTGTTGGTGTAAGAACTAAAATAGCATTAATGTCACAGTTTCGCTTATGACTCGGCTGCCCCTGATAAACCAAAATACATTCTCATTTTGTCCTATTTCATGTGTTATTTAAATACAATATATTAACCATTTTAAAAATGATAGATAAAAAGTGTAAGTCTTATAAGTACACTCATGCAACAAAATTGTAAATATGGCGTTACATACTGAGTACACAACAATGAATAAATAGACGAAAAAATCGTCTTGAAAGATATAAACGAAAAAATAAAGAAAAAGACGAACAAGTCGTCACTGTGAAAGATAAAACTTGATAAAACTTGATTGATTTAAATTCGTCAATATGCAACATAATTATATAAATTATGTATGTAGCTAAATGTGCTAAATTTATTGACGCATCATCGATATAATTATTGTTTACGTAAGCTACAAAATAAGCACTCGTTCTCTGTTGGCTTTTAACTAATCATTTGTATGGTTGCATGCTGAAATTAATTAGCACATTATGTCCAAAAATTATACTCGGACAGATTTGAATTTGCAGATTATGTTAAAATATCTTTTTTTTCCATAGAATGTTCTAGAAAATCGCAAACTCGTTTTATTTGTGTCTCTATAACGAACAGTTTAACAGGCTTCTGAAAACAAGCGTTCCAAGAACTGAGCGAACTGAAGCAAGTGTGTGGATACATCCTTTAAAAATACGTGAATAAATATTATAATGCTAAGTTAAACTCGCTCCCTATTTTCATTTTACTTGCATCAAATTTCCTGGATAAAAATATAGTTCACACAAACAAGGTTTATTAAAGCAGGT